TCAGTGCTACTGCCAAGGATAGAATCAACATGGCTGATACACTAATTTGGACTTTTAACCTCCAGAACTATGCGGATTCAAATTTCTGTTCTTTAAAGTCACATACTTATAGGATTTCTGTTTCGGCACAATAGTTAACAAAGACAGTAAGCATATATGTACTAAGTGTTTAATATACAGACTCTGTAAAGAGCTCCTCTACAAGTCAACAAGATGACTAAACAACTCAATAAAAATTTAGCAAAAGACTTAAGACATTTCTCCCAAGATAAATGGCCAATAAGCACATGGAAGATAACTCAACATCTTTGTTGTTATTGTTGTTAGGTGCCTTCGAATTGGTGCTAACTCATAGCAACCCTGTGCACAACAGAATGAAACAATGCCTGGTCCTGTGCCAACCTCACAATCATCGCTACATTTGAGTCTATCACTGCTGCCACTGTGCCAATCCATCTTGTTGGGGGGGGGCGGGGGAGTCTTCCTTTTTTTCTCCGACCCTTCATTTTACCATATAGTGTATCTTTCTCCAACGACTGGTCCCTCCTGACAGTATGTCCAAAGTATAAGAGACAAAGTCTGGCCATTCTGGCTTCCAAGAAGCACGCTGGCTGTACTTGCAATACAGATGTTTGTTCTTTTGGCAGTCCGTGGTACTTTCAATATTCTCCTCTAACACCATAACTCAAATGCCTCAATTCTTCTACATCCTTCCTTATGCATGTCCAACTTTCACATGCACATGAGGTTACTGAAATACCATAGTTTGAGTCAGGCGTACCTTAGTACTCAAACTGACATCTTCTCTCTTCAACACTTTAAAGAGGTCTTATACCTAAAGTCTCATACCTTGACAGCACTTAACAACAACAACAAATACCTAAAGAAGCTTTGCCTAATGCAGTACGTCGTTTGATTTCTTGACTGCTGCTTCCATGAATGCTGGTTGATATGAGCAAAATGAAGTCTTTGACAACTTCAGTCTTTTCTCCATTTTATCATGATGTCCTGGCGTGGTGCTGCAGGTAATGCACTGGACCACAAAGTCAGTTTGAACCACAGGGTTGGTGGTTCAAACCCACCAGCCACTCCTCAGAAACCCTATACAGGGTCACTATGGGTCAGGACCAACTCAATGACATTTAACAACAACAATCTTTCAGGGAACATCGAACTGCCAACCTGTTAATGTTGTTAAGAGCCTTCGAGTCCGTTCTGACTCATAGCGTCCCTGTATAGGGTTTCCAAGGAGAAGCTGGTGAATTTGAACTGCTGACCTTGCGGTCCAGTGCATCATCCCACAGCACCACACTAAGAGCCTAATGTTGAACCAGAGCTCTTCAGAAATACCACTCCTAAGTGTATACCCAAATGAGCCAAAAGCAGCAACTCTAACAGATAAATTTCAACAATATTCACTGCAGCATTATTCACAATAGCTAAACATTGGAAACCAACCACCAAAGTAACTATCGGCTGATGGAGAAAAAAAATGTGATATACTCATACAATGCAGTTGGGTCACAGGTGCATCTCAAGGCACGTCTGAAGCTACTGGAAGCTGGAAAAGATAAAAATAATCTTCCCTAGAACCCTGGAGAGGATGGCCCTGAAATCAGACTGTAAATCTCTTGAGACTGTGAGACATTACAATTGTCATTTAAAGTCACCCACTTTGTGGTACTTAGCTACAACTGCTCTAGTCAACAAATGGTATAGTTTACTAGAAAGTATGTCAAGTGATCAAAGGATTATGAAAAAGGAAAACAGGTTGACTTCCTATTTAAAAAATAATAAACTAGACTCCAATGATACTAATGTGGGCTTTAATAACCAAAAGGAGTTAAAACCTGTGCTGACCAGAAGGGCAGCCTTTAACAAGAACTGTTTATTAAACTTAAAAGATTGTACAAAAAAATCAACATTTTATTGAGTTATACTAAGTCTGTTTACTTTGTCATGACCTAGCTATGGATATCATTACATATACTGTAATTCAAAGGCATCACATTTTCTTATAAATTTTCACTGAGAATAAAGGGATTAAAAGAAATACATTTTTAGAATTTAAAATATCAACACACTTAAGCAGCTTAAAGTTAGCTTTCCACCCAATTAAAAGATTTAAATTTTGCTTTTTTATTATCCCAGCAAATGTTACACTACAAAAAATGATTCAGAAAATACAAATAGTCATTAAAAACACAGGCTGATTATTGGTATCTACTACATTCAGAAGTATGCAAAACAATACAGTTATATTGCAAAGCTGTAACTCCTTTTCTTAACAAAGCATTATTTTATAAAACTGTAGTGTGGTCACTGATTCAAATGAAAAACCCTCCTATATACACAATACAATAGAAAAGTAAACTGGTAGAGTGCCTTTCACAGAGATCTATTAAGGCGCTTTACAAATATACCAATATGTTGACCCAAATTATTTTTTGTTGTTGTTTAAAGCAAACAGGCTAAATGTCTCACTTTAAATACCAAATGGGTTTTTGTTTTTATTAATTTTTTTCTAAAGGTACCTTAGGTAACAAAAGCAGCAATGTCTACAAATCCTCCCACTGCATTCTCTATTTCCTCCATATCACTAAGTCAGTATAAAACATTGCCACTCACAGTTTTGCACTTTGCAACAGCACAAGTTAATAACTTTTTGAAAAAGTCAATTTCCAAGTGACTTCTTAGTCATACATTCTAGAGGTTCTATTACAAAGAAGGTAGAAGAGACAGCAGTAGGGCCTGCCTTAGGATTTCACTGGACAATACATAATAGTATCTACATTATATAATTATACAACACATTTTATAAATACTATTGATATACATAAAAATGGGGAAATATAAGAACAACAATAGACTTTTTAAGGAGTGGGGAATTATTTTTAAAAAAGAAAACATGTATAACCAATGTTTTCACGATTTCCACTGATAGCATCTGTATTTTTGATGTTTTACTTCTCATTTTTTGGTCAGAAAGCACCAGATTTTATGAGGGAGCTAGGTATTATTTGGGAGTAAGATAGCTAGCTAGTAAGTGTATCTCAACGATTAAAACTGCAGATACCAAAAGCTTGTATGCTGCATCACATAAACACAGAAAGTTTATATGGTCAGAGGGAATTTTAAAAGTAAAACACAATGTAGTGTACATTAAATTGGAAGAGTTGGGGAAAGCAGGGTGGGAAGAAGCAGACAGCACCTTAGTTTTCCTACAATGCAAGTGTAACAAGGTTTTGTATTGCTGTTGCACCATTGTCTAGAAATAAAACAATGGAAATTTAAGTAAATCTCACTAAAAAACTTATAAGATCTTTAAAATATGAGTAATGATCTTGAGCTAGTTTGTTTTGCATAGGATTTTATGGAACTGATCAAATGTGCCCTGAAACTAATAAGAACTGTCATATCATTATGGTATATTTTTACAATTCTGTTATTAGAAGTCCTATAGAAATACATCTGTAACAAACGGAATACAATTTCAGTGGCCTCTAATAGTATGTTTAAAGACATCTTAATCTTAGTGCTGTACCATTAAGAGAGAGGCATTCATTGGGCAGTTTATCACATGCTACACAGACCTTTTCCATCACAAATTATCAGTACATATACAAAGACGTGCTAATCTGAGGACTGAACAATAAATCAAAAGCCTAATTCTTAGTCTAAGAAATCCATCTTACCATGTAAATAAATCAGTAAGTCCTTGACCAGAGTCTATATTGCACTGTGTTCAAAATCCTCTCAAACTATGTGTATGTGTTGATGTGCATTTTCGGAGGAATAAGAGTCCACAGCTTTCAACTGATTCTCAAAAGGACCAGTGACCACCGCCCCCAAGAGACGCACTTTTACATGGCAGTGGTTTTCAAACCAGGCTCTGAGATGTTCACCTGGAGAAAGGCAGGAAGTGTGAGCTAAATAAATGTATTTTGCCCTTCATCAATTCAACAGCTCTGCCTATAATTTCACGTACATACTTGCATATGATTTCCATTAGCTTTTAAATGAAGAAACCTAAGATTTTAAAAATTATTAGAATTGTGTCTCCTAACTACAAATTTTGTTTTGATAAACTAATTCCTTATCAATGGAGCTTATTAAGAGGTAACAAAATGCAAAATCTACTAATGTCAGAATAGAGCCCTTTTCCCCTTCCAAAAAGACAAGCTAACATGTCATATGTAATAGGCATGTTGAAAATCATGACCGAAAAAAAAGTGACCAAAAAACCACTGTCACGGAGTCAATTCGGACTCAAAGCAACCCCTATAGGACTGAGCAGGGCTGTCCCTAGCTAGGGTTTTGGAGACTACAAAGCCTTACAAGAGAAGTCTTCTCTTTCCCCCGAGGAGCAGTTGGTACATTAGAACCACCAACCTTGGGTTAGCAGTCCAATGCTTAACCCACTGTGCCAGAAAACTGAGGAAGATTTGAATTTTCTACTAAGACCACTATGTAAAAGCTTTCCTAATTAACAGTGGTCATCTCGATTAGAAGTTAATTATTAATTTTTTACCAATTAATCTGTCCTTAGCTATAATATTTTCAAATAACCATTCTTCCTTGGCAAGTACAATCTGAAAGAGGAAACCTATAGCATTACTGATGACATAATCAAAAGCAGTCACTATACAGAAGTACTTTACTAGTGATTATCCACAAACATGAATCAGAACTTCATATGAAACTAAGAATAATCTTTTAGGATGGTTGAAAATATATTTTGAAATAAAAACATGAAAGATCTTAGATTTTTTAATAGTTGAAAATTCTTATTTATGGCAGCTTTGTTTTCCTTTGAAATGGAAACAATGTTAAAAATACCCTCATGGAAAGAAACCTGGGGCTGCTTTGGCTTCTTTTAAAGCCAGTATTCTTCAGAAACACAGGGAGGCTTCTTGAAATGCTACCATCTTTTAATTCCATTTTTCCATGGGTTTTTTTGAAGTCCCACTCTAAATGTTCTATTAGAAAACGAGACAAGCTGCATCCTTTTCTTTCTGATGGACATCTGAATATTGTCTCAACCCTGTATTTCCCAGTTCCAGCATGCTAATTACACAGATTAGCATTAGCCCAGGCATATGCACCAACAAGATGGCTGTATTTCTCTAGCTTATTTTGTATCAAAAACAAAGTTATGGAAAAAACCCTCAAATATGGGGTATATTTCATATTTGGTTAAAGCAAGAGGAAACTAAAACAGTATTTCAAAAACTTTCAAATATTCTTTTAAAAAATGACTTAGCATATGTACAAATAGATACCAGGCTGTTCCTTTAAAACAAAGCTTTTGTTTGTCTTCCTTAAATTTTAAGTACTTTAAGTACCAAGAACTGACTATAATATTGAGTTCATAATTTACTTTCCTTATAACAATTTTTTTTCTTAATTATTGATTAAAAAGGCAGGAATAAATTAACATTCTAAAGTTTCCATAATTTAGGAAAATAAAATACACACAGAGCACACATTACACAGCTCTGTCACATTTGCATATTTTTACTTTCAGAACCTCAAAAAGCCCTGCATTTGAGGTCTCTGCAAATCTCCATTACAGAACTATGGTTCAATTCTTTCCTATCATGTTAAACATACACCAGATCACGAGTTTTGATCTCTGAGCCTGTGTGTTGATCATCTTCATCTGACTGTTGCTCTGAGCCTTGGGAATTCATGTATTCATATTCAATAGGCTTTGGATAATTGTATGGGTAACCATTGTCATCAAAAAACCTCCGAAAGGTAAACTCATAGAAGGCATGTTCAGGATGTTTTCCATTTTTATACCATCCATTGAGAGTGTCATTTACATTTTCTTCCTCATTGCCATCACTCCATAACTTATCAGGATCAACTGGATCAAAATTTGATGTATCTGTTGGGTGTGTGATTTTAGGAATGTATGAAGCAGACTGCTGTCTCAGGTCACTGGAGAAATCAATTGTTTTAAAAAATGAATGAGCTTTGATTTCATCAGCACCACTCTTGCCTAAGCGGTCTTCTGGTCCCCGACAGAGTTTAACAATAAGGTCAGAGGCTTCAGGACTCAGTTTAGCTTGCAGTGGAATGTGAAGAGATGTTTGCCAGTTGATAACCTTTAATAAAAAATATTTTTAAATTAGGAGTGAAGAAATAAAAAAGAAAAAATTTTCCTCTAATTTTTATACTAAAAAATCTTACTGGACAATTTCTATTCTTTTAAACGAATTGCCATGGTATTTCCCATGTAGCGCTGTGGGTTAATGCACTGGACTGCAAAGTCGGTTTGAACCACAAGATCAGTGGTTCATGCCCACCATCTGCTCCTTGGAAACCCTATACAGAGCTCTGGTAGCGTAGTGGTTATGAGTCGAGCTGCCAACCGCAAGGTTAGCAGTTCAAAACTACCAGTGGCTCCGCAAGAGAAAGATGAGGTGTTCTGCTCCCATAAAGATTTATAGCCTCGGAAACCCTGTGCAGGGTCACTATGAGTCAGAACCGACTCTACTGTACTTAGCAAAAATGGGTTGGAATCAACTTGATGGCACTTAACAAGAAATACCCATAACTGGGTAATCACTTTTTCTCCTGTGTCCTCCTCTCCAGACAGTTTACACGCATGCACAGCATAAGACTCATTAGTTTGATCTCCCCTATTCAATCAGCCTTTCCCCCTCTGGTAGGAATGACGACTATGACCCCACGGTCCCTGCTCCTTAGTTCTATCACTATGCCCCTAATAGTCTGTATCATCTACTGATGTCTATGTCCTTCTACTGGGGGGTAAAATTCCACACAGCTAGGTACCATGTTCTATTTGACTTTATATTTTTCGGTGCTTGCAAACTGCCTGGCATAAAATAGATGCTCAATAAAGTTTGTTCTAGTTTTGAATAAAATGGAGTGAGGAAGGAAGGCAGGAATGCCAAGTAAAACCAGACTATCTAGTCTTTATGTCCCTAAACTCTTGAAGGCAGGCGAATGATCTAAAAATCGAAGTACAACATTAAATGCATTTTGTTGTTGTTAAGTGCTATCGAGTCAGTTCCAACTCATAGCAACCCTGTATAGGGTTTCCAATGAGCAGCTGGTGGGTTTGAACTGCTGACCTTCCAGTTCAAACCGACTCTGTGGTCCAGTGCATTATTCTGCAGTGCCAAACCAAGACTCCAATTGTATTTTGAGTCAAGTTAATCCTGGTAAATGGTAGAATGAAGTGTTATTTAACCTAAATTGACATGCTCAACATGTCAAATGACAGACAGTCAATAATTTTTTTTTGTTAAATAAATGAATCACTGAATCCCACCTGGAACTCACCAGCTTCTGTCAAAGGAAGAAAAATATACTCTCCTCTTTTAGTATGTTTATTTTAAAGTCTTGTTCCAGCTTAGAAAAAGGAGTTATCTCAACTAATAATAGACTATTTCTTTGAATTTTTTAGAGTAAAAATAAAATCAAGATATAATGCTCTGGTAGCATAGTGGGTTATGAGTTGGGCTGCTAACCACAAGATCAGCAGTTCAAACCTACCAGATGCTCCATGAGAGAAAGATGAGACTTTCTGTTCCCATAAATATTTACAGCCTCAGAAATCCTCTCCAGGGTCACTATGAATCAGAACTGACTCCAAGGAACAAAACCACTAACCATCACCACTTATGCTGAATACTTCTTTAATCTTCAGTTTCTATGCTGAAACTTTCTTTCAAGTGTGTTCATCCTTACTTAGAGCATTTTTATAAAGACTGCTTTTTAACTGTCAGATAATTCTAATATTTGTAGCATCTCAAGAGTGTCTTTTTCCGATGTGACTTGGATTATACCTGGATATTTTGAGTACTAATACCAGACTCTGGGCCTTGTTTAAATCTTACAGAGAGTGTTGATATTATTATTTAAGTAGGAATTAAAGCATATTGGTTACGAATAGGGCTGCGAACCTTAAGGTCAACAGTTCGAAACTACCAACTGTTTCGTGGGAGAAAGATGAGGCTTTCTGCTCCTGTAAAGATTTACAGCCTCGGAAACCCTATACGGGGTCAATATGAGTCGGAACCAATTCCATGGCATATAACCAATCATCATATTCAGGTCACAAGTTCCAACCAGGCTTTTTTAGGTTGTGATTTCAATGTCAATTTCATTGTCAAAGTCTTTACCGAACTATTTTAGATGTCTACATGTATGCCACCTAGACTGGGACCTGGGCAGCATTTTTTTCCCTTAATTCAGTTCTCAGTCTTTGGTATTCTGTTTAGGTTCAGGTAGGGGCTGAGACCAATAGTTTAGTTTATAAACAACTTCATGCGTGAGTTTCCCAAGATGCTCCCTTTCTGTGAGGCCCCTGGTACTTTCAATTCCTTGAGGCTCCTCTTTTTGGTTCTCTGGACAAAAGTGTAGGATTTTATATACCCTCTCTGCCACACATGTCTTTTAACTGTTTTTTAAACACAATTTGGGCAAAATGTCAAGAGGATAAAAAGAAATAAAAAAGCAATAAGGATTTACCACCTCTACTTGGGACTGCATGCTATATGATTTCATTTCTAGCTAAAGAAGGGTCCCCTCTTTGAGTTTTAGGTGCCCATACGGTCAGAGGTTCAAATTTACCAGCTGCTCCTTCAAAACTCTATATAGGGTCTCTATGAATTGGAACTGACTCCACAGCATTTAACAACAACAATCAAGGCCCTTAAAACTGAAGGTAAGCACTGGACTGCTAACTGAAAGGCCAATGGTCCGAACTTCCAAGGGAGAAAGATAAGACTGACTGCACCCATAATGAGTTACAGTCTCAGAAACCCTTTAGCGCAGTTCTGCCCTGTCCTATAGGGTTGTAACAAGTCAGAACCTACTAGATGGCAGTGGGTTTACTTGGCAGGCTCTTACTGCCAGTGATGGTCCTGTCAACGAACACCCTCCCCACACCTTAGACCTAAACTAGAGGGTTTCTCCTGGAGCGCTGTCTGTGCAGATACCCACTTCACGGCACTGGGCTACCACGAGTCCAGACTGGGGAAACCAAGAGAAACTCACCGCTGGCTCACTGGGACTCTGAATTCTCATTTCTTCTCCAATCTACTTGCTATGGTTTACTCTTCAGGACTTCAATAGCTGTCTCAAGCATTTGGCCTAGGTTTTAAACCTACATTCAGTGGGAATGTCAGGGCAAAATGTGCCTGTTACATCTTACTCAAAACTGGGAACCCTCTTTGGCTGTTTTAAAAGTTTTTGCTCTCATTAGTTTTCAGCTGTTCGACCATAAAGACTTTGACCACAGTTTCCTATGTCTATTTCTGTCCTTACAGGCATCCTAATTTTCACCACTTGGTAGCCACGTTAGCTATTAAAATTTCACTACTACTATAAATGGAGTCCTAGAGTAGCGCTGCAGGATAAGCACTAGACTAACAAGGTCGGTTTGAACAGCAAGGTCGGTGGTTCGAACTCACCAGTCGCTCCTCTGTTACTATGAGTCAGAAACGACACAATGGCACAACTACTACTGTAAATAATAGCACTGACTACAACATAAATATTTTTCTTCTTATGAATTATCTCCTTAAAGTAAGTTCTCAGAAGCTATATTTACTGGGGTCAACCATCATGAAGATATTCATGGTTATTGTTAACAGCTGCAGGTACATTCTTGAGGACTGAAATGATTAAAAGTTCCACCTCCTAATATCCAGGCCACTATCTAGAGACCACACCTTACCTTCACTTGTGTTTCTAACGGTGTCTGAGCCAAGAAAGGAGGCTGTCCCACCAACATTTCAAAAAGAATTACTCCAACGCTCCACCAATCACATAACTGTGTATAGCCTAAAATAAGATACCAAAATTACATATATTCACAAGCACTTTTTAAAAATCATTCAGTATTAATAAATTCAAAATTAACATTAAACCATCAATTTATTCTGTAAAATTGTTTTTTCATTATAAGCCTGAAAAATAAAATATATCTAGTGTAAGTTTTGGCTAATGTAAAGGCATATAGTGAGATCGTTTATCAAACCAATAAATGCTTTACCTGTTCGTAGCAACACTTCGGGTGCAATGTAATTGGGAGTGCCAACTAAAGAGTGTGCCAGACATCGCTGATGTTGGCGTGCAGCTCGCCTCTCCAGTGGCTTCAGTCTGTCTCCACATCGGCAGCTAGAGGGGTCACCCCATTCACTACTGAAATCCATGCTATCTTGTCGTGGATGGTCACCTGTACCGTAAAAAAGGACTTAATATGAGAGCTACAAGGACAAGTGTAAACCTAAATCCTGTTTCATTTTTTTACCATCATGGTTTAGTCAGCAACGTTTTTCCCTGTGACAAACTAAGACAAAGCTAAGATGTGATTGGGTTCAGAACACAGACTAGGAATCACATTTTAAAGAAGAGCCTCGAGAACGAGGTAAATCTGCTGAACATTAAAGTTGGTTCAGATATCGTCATTCTATGTTTTTACCGTCTTCATCTCCTGTGTTCTCAGAAGCACCTAGTAATATGTACTTCACAGGGCTATGTTGGGAGCATTAAAGTAGATTCTATGTAGAACACCTGTTGTCATTGAGTCGGTTCTGACTCAAGGACACCCTGTATATAGTAAGTTATTCAAAAAATTTATTCACTTACACATCCACTGGATCATGGAGAGGCAGTGTACAGCAGTAGAAACAGCAAGGGTCCTATAGTTACTGTAATTAGCTTAACCCTTACACTATTTTCTGTTTGACTTCAGGCAAGTAACTTAATCAAACTAAGGCTCTGATTCTTGATCTAGCTTATTTACATTGTGAGGATTACATAAAACCATATCAAGTGTTTGTTGTTGTTGTTAAAGGCTGTCGAGTCAGTTCTGACACATAACCACCCTGTACAGGGTTTCTGATGAGCAGCTGGTGGGCTTGAACCATTAATCTTGTGGTTCAAACCAACCTTGTAGTCTAGCACATTAGGCAGCAACAAACGTTACATGCCACAACAGGATAAATACATAAAATAAGCCAACATAGAACATACAGAAGTCAACATAGAAGAACATATTTAAATACAAGTTCAATGCTCTGAAAGGGATCACATTAGGTCATGGATAGAGTAGGAGAAATTGTGAAACAAAACTCAAAATTATTTAAAAAAGAAAAAAATGACTTGGCTTACTATTCGGAAAGAGACTGGAGGAACTCAAGATTATGACCCCAGACTATCCAAAAGTCTAGAATGGACGCCTTCTGGCCCAATTTGCAGTCAAGCAGTAGATAGGTACATAGGGGGACAACAACACTAATATGGTATGCTCACCATGGGATAGTCAGCCATCAACATTTACCAAAGAATAAAGTTGAGAAGGGATGGGAAGGTGGGTGAAATGGAAATAAGAACCACAGAGAAGAAATGGATAACTGTTATTACATGGAGGGAATTATAATCATTGAGATGAAACAAAGTATATGATCTGTTGAATGTAAAACTGATGATCTCTGTAAATCTTTACTCAATTCACAGTAAAAAGCTTTTTTTTAAAAAAAGAGTCAAATGTAGGCAAAATAAAATATGTGTATTGTTTACCACATATATAAAAATGTAAGTTGACAGAAAAAGTCAGAAGCTGATTACAAAGTTCTGAAATAATAGTTCTCTCTGTGGAGGAAGAAAGGGGAAATGATTATTTAGCATGAGTTGGAATTGACTCACCAGTAATTGTAAATTTTATTGTCTGTTTGTTTGAAGTTATTTATAATCTAGTTCTTGGACTTGATGGCACCTAACAACAACAAAAGTTCTTAGACTGAAGACTGAATGGTGGTTATGGAGCTTTATAATTATTTTTAGATAGAAATATTTTATTTCTATGGTATTTCAAAATAATAAAACACAAAGGGTTCAACTGAAAAATGTTAATTACATATAAAAATAACCAAATCTAATCTGTCTTTTCATTTCACAGGTCTAAGTCCTCCTGTGATACTGTATGATAAGTACTGGACTGCTAAGCACAAGGTCAGCAGTTCAAACCCACCAGCTGCTCCTCAGAAACCCTATATAAGGTTACTATGAGTTGGAACCAACTCAACAGTACTTAACAACAATAACAAGTTTTTAAAAAATTCACACAAGTTTATCCAAGGTCAAGACCTGACCGAGGTCTTCGGGTTCCCCATCTGGCTTTAATACCAGGTTACATTTATTACATTAATAAATTACAGTGACACACTCAAAATAAATTTTATTGTACTCACCACTCTGATAGTACTTAGAATCATGTGTCCATCTGAAGCCAGTGCAGAGGCCAAAGTCAGTCAATTTAATATGACCATCACGATCAATCAAGATGTTATCAGGTTTAATATCTCTATGAATAAACCCCATTTTATGTACACTTTCCACTGCACAGGTAAGTTCGGCTATGTAGAATCGGGCCAGATTTTCTGGAAAGATACCCAATCTAATTAAGAGGCTCATCATATCACCCCCAGGAATGTAGTCCATTACAAAGTATAAATTGTCCTTATCCTGGAATGAATAATATAGACGGACTACCCATTCATTGTCTGCTTCAGCCAGGATATCTCTCTCAGCTTTAACATGAGCAACTTGATTTCGAAGCAGGACATCTTTCTTTCGAAGAGTTTTTGTTGCATATAATGCCTTAGTATCTACTTTTCTTGCAAGACAGACTTCACCAAAAGCTCCTATTCCTAGAGTTTTTATCTTCACAAACATAGACTTGTCCATTTTAGCCCTTTTAAGACGAATGTAATTCGACTCTTTTTGGCAAAGCATCTTTCTCATTTGATCCTGGGCATCTTGAGATAATCCAACCTAGGAAAACAAACTAAATATTACATGAAGAATTACCTTCTTTCTATATTGACTATTCAGGGATATCTTGAAAAATTCAGGCATATATTTAAAAGTTAAATGTGTAATAATTTTTAATAAAGCATGTTAGAAATCTAGAATATATTTCAGAGAAAATTAATTATCAACAGTGCAGCTTCAGGATCTATACAATGTGAGTATATAGAGAAATTGTGCTATTGGGAGCAAGAAGAGGATACCAATGGTCAGCTTTCTACTCCTCTCTAATGTACCAACAAGAGTTCCCAATGTGCAATAGCAAATCTGTTCACATGCAGCCTTATCCGTCTCTCCATGCATATTCATCCCTAGTTATAGGATTGAACTGCCTTCGGCAAATGCCTCTTTTGTGGAATGTCCAGGCTTCAAATATTCTCCTTCCATTTTATGATATGTGAAAAGATTTTCCACTCTAGGTTCATTTATTCTCAAAAATGGATGCTTTTAGGAACAACAAAACAATGCTTTCTTTAACCTTACCACCCTTTTCCCATTCTTAATACAAGGAGGCTCCAAAAAGTGTCAAGATATGTAATTGAAAAGTAACAGAATTTTCCGACAAACTTTTTGAAGCTCCCCTGAAAACAGACAATTGTTGTTGTTATTGTTAACTGCAGTCTAGTAGGATGGCACCTAACAACAAATAGGTTTCAAGTCATAGCTAAAGATTTAAAAGCCTTAGTTTTTAAATCTTTGTGGAAGCAGAAAACCACACCTTTCTCCAGAGTGGCTGGAAGGCTTGAAACTTTGCGATTCACAGTCCAGTGCTTGTCCTAAGGAGCCATGGCACTTTTAGACAGACAATAATAAATAAGAGTTGCTTATCTTTCTCGGGCACTGGAGGTAAAAGTGGGGGAGTCATAGCCCACCACTAAAGCAAAACACAACGTGAATCTCCTACCTCATGTAAAAGGGACAGCCTTTTTGGATACAATTTTTTTAGTTATTTTGGAACATTTCAAAAATAGTTGCTGTGACTCATGAAGATGTCAAGACCAGATTGAAAACAAATTCTAAGTAGATACCTGGACTAAAAAGGCAGGAACACTGTATTCTGACAAATTAATAAACAACCAGTGGTGGTGTGGTGGTTATGTGCTGTTAAAAGTTGGTTCCAATTTACAGCAACTCTGTTTCTGAGGCTGTAAACCTTTACAGGAGCAGAATGCCCACCTTTCTCCCACAGAGGCTGGTGGATTTGAACTGCTGATATTGCAATTAGCAGCCTAATGCATAACCCATTACACCACCAGGGCTCCGAAACTAACAAAAGGATTTAAATAGAAACATAATTCAACTGGAAAAGTAAATCTAATTCTAGGAATGCAAGACGAATAAAAATACAGCAACTTCATGCTTCTGTTAGGATGCGCCATTTGCATGCAGAATCTGAAAGAAGGGTGGCATGCCATCTTAGTATTTTACTGTTTCTCTTTAAAATCTTACTTGCCTACACAGTAATGGAGCTACAGAAGTCAGCAAAGCTTCCAACACCATAAAAGTTTAAATCAGCTATTAGTGAAAGTGAAGAGGAAAAAGGAAAAATAAACTAAGAAAATACATACAGACAAACTTTAGTGAGAAATCCTAAGAGCAAAAATATGTATAAGTCATACAGATTGTTCTGGTACTTTCTTGTCTAACAAAATGCAATATACAGCAGAGCAACAATACTGTAAAATCAGATTGAGAAATATCATTTTAAAGAATGGCTCTCCCAAATATAACAGAAATTTCAATCACAAGTCTAAGCCTCTTGAATTATGAGTGCAAGATATAAGATTAAGAGTCAAATTTTAGAATTCTATTCATAAGATTAAAAACATGGATGAGAAAGAGTCAAAAGTTATCCGCACTCCGGTTATATTAAAATGCCCATCCTTGGTTGATGACATTAAGCATGCACGATGTGAAATGATTCTGTCGAATAGACAAGTAACAGTGGATGATGTGGTAAATTATTTACAAATCAGCCATGGTTCTTCCTATGAAATAATCCACTACAGACATGGGTTCCAAAAAGTTTGTGAGAGATGGGTACTGAAACAATTCACTGAAGAGCATAAACAGAAGCGTTTGTATACCTGCAAACAAAATTTGGACTGATACTCAAAAGAAGGTAAAGGTCTCTTTAAAAAAAACATCCTCAAACGCCAACTAAGAAAAAGTTCAAAAGTCAGTTGGAAAATTGATGCTTACAGTTTTCTGGGGTTCTCATCGGCGAGTATTGGAACACTACCAGGAAAAAGTTCCAACAATCAACAGTGCTTGCTACAGTGAGATGTTCACTGAGGAGCTGAAGCCTAAACTAGAGATAAAATGCAGAGAACTGCTATCCAGGGGCGTTGGGATCACACATGACAATGTATATCTGCACACCTCTGCCCACACTGCTGACTCTGCAAAAAGTTCATTTTGAGGCATTAAAGCATCCTCTCTATAGTCCTGATCTTGCTCCATCTGACTTTCATCTGTTTGGTCCCCTGAAAGCATCACTTTGAGGACAAAGACTCGCCTCTGATGAAGTGAAGACAGTGGTGCATTCTGAAACATTTTTTAATAAAGGAGTATGAAAGCTTGTTGGCAGATGGACAAAGTGTATTAAAAAGCAAGGAGATTGTGTCAAAAAATGATGTATTTGCCTTTTCTAAAAGTTGATTAAATTCTACAGCCAGAGTGTGAATAATTTTTGACTCACCCTAGTAATGACAGGACCATGATGTCATGACAACTAGTGAAAAGATCTATGCAGAATTATCATAGATTAATCCAAAATGAGCATTTACTTATTCTGATCTAGTCTTTAGTATGATTTGTTATTTTCAATTCATTTTTTCACAAGTATATTATAAAAAAGGAATGAGAAGGGGAAATAACTAAAAGGAGGCATTTCTGACAGACTTTGTTTCTTAAGTATATCAAGAGGTGAGACCTTGACATTTCTAGCTTATTTTTAAATATTATAAGATAATGTGCAAAGCCTGAAAAGTAACCCTTGTGTGATTCCTATAAAAAGGTTGTATACATCTCAACTGTGTAACTGCAAGTAATAGTTTTCTTAATTTACATAAGTTTATTAAAGGAAACTTTGAGAAAATCTTGAAATACTAAAATAAGGTGCCGTAATCAAAACTGTTCACTCACTTTTAAAACAGTGAATATACTTAGTTAGCTATAATAATAAAAAATAGTGGATTATAACATTTTAAAATTTACACCAAACAACTAGATGAATAAGTACAATAATGAACATTGTAAAGATTTTACCCGCATCATTTCATTCTCTAATTGTTTTTTACGATGTAGACGCTGCTGGTGAGATTTGAGTACATTTTCTACATGTTGCTCCATGAAAAACTTGAACGCCTGAGGAGAGTAACTTTGAATACGAGATTCCCTTCGTTCTTCATCTTTCTTATTTTTCCTAACCGTAATGGGCGAGGTTGTAATCTGCTTCTTTTCTTTATCACCATTATCGCCATTTTCACAACTTTTTTCACCCTCATCTTCCTTGGGCAAGCTAGGCTGATCATCTTTGCTAGATTTAGTTATCGAGTCGTATGGAGGAGCAGATGGGTTTTGGTGTAGCAGGTGCTTAGGATAAGGTGGTGGTGGACCTTGATAGTTTGGAGCTTCAGCAACAGGTGGCATAACAGTCATATTAGAAGTGGTACCCTCAGAAAAAGGACTGGGTTGAACAGGTTGAATTGGCTGTGGGATCCAAGAAGGATGTGTTGGTGCTAAGGCCGTTTGTAGCTCAGGTTTTAATACACGAATGCTCTTCACAGGCTGTTGAATGGGAGCTGGTGTAATAGCAGTTACTGTTGTAGCTGAAGGCTGGGAATTAGTAGAGTGACTTGTTCTATTTCCTAATGGGTTATTAAAAGAATTTGATCTCACTGGTATGTTCGGTTGCCATGTAGGAACTTCATGTCCACTGCTTGGGGATGACTGGGCTGGAGCAGAAGATGACTGAGGCCAAGTTGTTTGAAGTCCTGGGACATTAATGTTAAAAAGTTCCATGTTATGACTATTTCTGTTTGGCACCATCACAGACTGAGGAACATTTCCATTTGTATATGATGAAGGGGCAGCAGACCCCCCTGTTGGTAAAGTTGAGGGGCTTTGTCCATTAGTCGGAGCCAGAGGATATGGAGGGGGTGGCTGCCGACTCACAGCTCCAGCTGGGACAACAGTTTGGTGTAGCATAAAGTCAGTTTGACCACTGCCATTCTGAATGCCAGGCCTCCCTGATGTAAAGTTAAACTTGTTAGAACTCTGCATGATGATTGGCTGTCTGCCAACAGGAACCGAATTCATGCCTCTCTGTCCCTGATTGGGCGGATTCATTTGGGATGTGTTAAGAGGTGGTGGAGGGTAGCCCTCCTGCCATGCCCCGGGTGGAACAGGAGAGATTCGAGAAATCACATATTCCATATTTCCAGAATAGCGTTTTGTTTGAGAGCTTGGTTCCCAGGAGTGTGGAGGTGGGGTTGTGCCTCTTGGAGGGGGAGGAGGAGTGACACTCCTTACTTGAGGTGGTGGCGGGGGGTTCACTCTCTGTCCATTACTAGGGTGAGCTTGAGAAAATGCTGCTATGCCAGATCCTGACAAAGGTCTTCCTACATCTGTCTGCGAGCTGGGACTTTCAGAACGATATGCCACACTTTCTCCTAGTGGTGGGCCATGTCTTTGAGGAACTAAGGATTCTTTAGAACCTTTCCAGCTTTGTTTACGGTTAACTGATTGTTGCACAAGCCCTATAGTGATAAGAGAGAAGGAGAGAAAACAAAACATGCTTTTAACTTCTTATTTTTGAATAATGTAGCTTGGAATTTTGACACGTCTAAGCAACATTCAATTCTCTTTCAAGAATTACAACAAATCTAATTTCAGTAGGCAGTTATCATTTTTTACCTTTTAAAAAAAGTTTTGTTTTTTTTTACTTTTTATTGTGAATTGTGTGAAGGTTTACAACAAGATCATCAGTTTATATTCAACAAATTATACACTGTTTCATGCCAATGACCACAATCCCCTCCAGGTAACAAGTTATCCCACTTGCTCCCTATGGTTCCGATTTCCATTCCAGCCGCTTTCTCATCCCTTCTCAACTTTGTCCTTAGGTGTTACCTTTTTACCCTGAAAGACTGAACATTCATTCCATGGTGAGAAGACCTTACTAGTGTTGTCGCCCACCCCCACATCACCTGTCTACTGCTTGGCTGAAGTTTGGGCCATGGGGATGAGTTCTTTTATACACCTGAAAGATAATTAAGGGTCATAGTCTCAGGTTCCTCTAGTCTTGTTCTGACTGGTAAGCCAAGTCTTTTATTACCATTATTATTATGAAATAATTTTTTGTTTCGTTGCACATTTTCTCCCACTCTCTCTGGGACCTTCTAATGTGATCCATTTCAGAGCAATCAGTAGTGGTAGTCAGGCACTAGCTAGTTCTTCTGGTCTCAGAGTCGTGGAAACTGATATTCACATGTTCCTTCCTTTACACTGGACTAATTGATCCAAAGGCTCTTCAATTCTTATCACTCTTCTTTCTTCCACACATGCAGACACCACCGGCTGCACCTTATAAGGATGTTCATGAGATTTTAAGATCCCAGATACTACTCACCAAAGTAGGATGTAGAACACTGTCTTTGTGAACTATGTTATGCCAATTGACCATGGTGTTCCCTGAAAATTTTTACTTATTTTGACTAGGTAATACATTCTCATTGTTCAAATTCAAGAGGTACAAATGGAGATCCACTTCAGTCCCTCAGTCATCCAGTGGCCTCCCTTGAAGGTAACAAGCATCAGTAAAACTGTTTGAGTTAGATAGGATCAGTGTCTTTAAAAACCAGCTGCAGTGGATGAGGATGGGGGTGTAGGCAGACTTGATAGGAAACACTAGCACATGGATAAACCAAGGTAATTTGGACTAGGGAAACGGCAATGGAGAAAAACAAATGAATTAAGAATAAAAGGATAAAACTGACAATTTGATGACAGATTATATACAAGAGGGCTTCAAAAAGCTGGTACGAAAAATGTAATTAAAAGATGGAGTTTTTCCACAATTTTTTTAAAGCGCCCTTGTATGAAATGGTGATTCTTAGGCTTAGAAAAACACAGGTGAACATTCACTAATATTAAGGTAGAACAAGTCTGCCCATGTATGACAAAGGTAGAGAACATAGAGTAAAAGACTGACAGACATAAATACATAAAACCCCTGTCACCATGAAAAAAGAAAACAGGAAACCCCACAAACCTGAAAGGTCAACATAGGAGAAAATATATTCAATCACTTATTAAAAAGTGGCAAATGCTCAGAGTACAATTGAATACTCTCTACCAATTCAACAGCACATAACAACAACAACAACTATCTTTCTCTAGGCTGGGCAGCATTTATTGTCCATGGCTGCAGGGAATGGTCATCAATCTATACCAGACAAGTCCTCAGGCCACCTTGTTCATTCTCACCTTTCTCAGAGAGCCAGCGGAGGCTAAATCTACCATATCACTCACCCAGCTCTAATCCGTTAGAATGTAAGTCTCTTCAAGTCAAGACCACATGGACATCAGAGTTGTTCTATGACTCTCAAAAAGCTCTTCATGTTTTGACCACTTTCCACCTCCCAAATCTTTGCACTATGTGCTTTAGACTTGCGGCTCCCTGACTAGCAAATGGTATTACTATTCTCTTCTTTAACTTTTCCTGCCCACTCTTTAAAGATGGTTAACTTCTGTTGAAATTACATACCTTCCTTACAGCCCTTTGAAATTAAAGTTTTCTTTAAAACATAAAGTAAGCCAAAAAGTGAGGTGGTATCTTCTTTGCTCTCCACATATACTTCCAGGCAATTATTATCCCTTTCAACTCTTTTTAAAAATAACTTTTCTTAGTTTCTTTGTCATTTTTGCCTAGGCTGTTTTTCCTTGGTGCTCTACTTCACACTGTGGCTCAAAAATGTGTCTCTCCAACTCACACCTATATATCCAGCTCCCTACTGGAGATCTCTGCTTGGATAACTCAATTACCCAAATTCAACCTTGTAGCTAAAACCACAATTAGGATCTTTTTTCAAAGCAAAGGAACACATTATAGACCCTTTAAACAGAACTCAATAGGAAGGATGCCCAGACTTAGGATCTTTCTCCACTAAACCCTGTTTTCCTTCAGCATTTATTTTCTCCTATGGGGTTCTCACCATCCATCCATTTTTTTCTAAGCCAAAAGCCTGTCACTCCTTCCCATCACTATCCCCCATAGGTAACCTCTCTCCAAGTCCTTATCAATTTTCTCTCTTCATTCATTCACTTTTCTCCACTGCCATCTCCCTAGAGATGGCAAAATTAAGGTAATTGAAACTACCTTAGTAACTCCAAGAACTACTGTATCTGCTATCAAATCTATGCATATTACCTCTCTTGCTCCTCTCCAATTCACTCTCATTTACTGCAGCCATTCTTTATTATGTGTTCAGTGCAACTTTACACAGCATGTTAGGTTCTCTACTTGACAACTTCCAAGTAAACTGTTCAGTAACGTTATAGTTATCACAATTTGCCAACATTCTCTTTGTGTTCTATTTGTCCCCTTTCGAGTACTCTGTCTTCCCTGACCCCGTATCTTCTCATCTTTGTTTTTGAGCCATTGTTGGCCTTTAGGTCTCATACTGGTAGGTTTTTAAGTCCTGGTGTGGCACTGCTGAATGCAGCACTGAACTACAGGTCCGTTTGGACCAAAAGTTCAATGGTTCAAACTCATCTGTCACTATGAGTCAGAATGGACTCAACAGCACTTAACAACCACCGATCTTACAGGTAATATCCTTTACGAGTACATTGTGTTCATTCTGATCTCAGGGGATAGACTTTGTTCTAGATTTAAAGAGTGTCTCAGGGTGAAAGTCCCAGTGGGTCTTCTGTTCTTTCTTTTTCCACTTTGGTCTTTTTTAAACAAAAATAAAAATAAACGTTTGAGTTCTCCACGCTTTTCTCCCATTCTGTTTGGGACCAACTATTAGGTGGCCCTTGTCAGAGCAGTCACAATAGCCTGATACTACTGAGGTCCCCCGCAGTCCTGGTATGGTGCTGTGTACTAATGCGTAAGACTGTAAAGTTGTCTGAATCGCAAGGTCTGTGATTATGATTTTTGTGAACTACGTTATGCCTACTGAGGAGCTCTGGTAGTGTAGTGGTTATGAGTCGGGCTGTTAATGTCAAGGTCAGCAATTTGAAATTACCAGCTGTTCTGCATGAGAAAGGTGAGGCTTTCTGCTCCCATAACGATTTACAGCCTTGGAAACCCTATGCAGGGTCGCTGTGAGTCAGAATCTTTTCCACGGCACATAACCACTGCCATCACATTATGCCTGTCCCCATCCATAAGTGCTCTACAGCTTGTTATTAGTTTGGTTGTGCTGTGCACACTATATACCCACCATCAGTACCACTTATCCATTACTACAAATCACCAGTCTCTGTATATAACCATATTTTTTCCACTCTCCCCATCTTCTTGGTAACCACCAATGAACACCGGTCTCTCTAAATTGATCTTACATCCTTGAAATACAAATCCTATTACGGTATAGTCTGCTGGAGACACTTCAATAACTTCCTGCTATTGTGGAGCTGGAAGATGAGCACTGGACTGCAATGTCCATTTGAACTGAAAGGTCTGTGGTCAAACTCACCAGCCATTCCTCTGAAACCTCACACAAGGTTGCTTAACGAGTTGGCACCAACTCGACAGCACTTAACAACAACAACAACATTCTTAAGATGGAGTCCTGGTGTGGCACTGTAGGATAAGCACTAGACCATAAGGTTGGCAGTTCAAATCCATAATCTGCTCCTCAGACTCTACACAGGGTGGCTTGGAGTTGGAATTGACTTGGTGGTACTTACCAGCACCACCTCTTAAGGTAATATATCAAAGTAACAGTCACACATAGTCAAGTCTCTATGGACTTCTCCAGTCACATCTAATACTTTTTTTTCCCCAGTGCTCCAGGCCACAGTGACTGTCTTTGCAAAAATCTTGCCAAAAGGGGCCATACGTAGCTTGTGTGTCCTCATTAACGCCATGCCCACTCTCCTTTGTCTTTCTTTAGAAGATGCTGTTGTTAGGTGCCTTGGAGTGCCCACTCACAGCAACCCTATGTCCCCATATTTAAGCCCACTGTTGCAGTCACTGTGTCAATTCATCTCTGTGTCACTGTGCCAGTTGAGGGGTAGTCCTCTTCTCTGCTGACCCATTTCCAGGAACCAGTCCAAAATACTTAATAATATGCTCAAAGTGTATGAGACAAAGTCTCGCTAGTCTTGTTTCTAAGGAGCATTCTAGATATACTTCTTCCAATACAGATTTGTTCATAGTAGTTCTTGTAGTCCATAATCAATCATTTCAATTCTTTGCCCATAATTCAAATGCAGAATTTTTCTCTTGTTTTCCTTATTCACTGTCCAACTTTCACATGCATATGAGGCGACTAAAAGTAACATGGCTTAGATCAAGCACACTTTAGTCCTTAAATGAACATCTTTGCTCTAGACGTATCTTACAGCAGATTTACCTAATGCACTATGTCCTCTGATTTCTTGACTGCTGCTTCCAGCATTAAGTGTGGGTCCAGGTAAAACAAAATCCTTGACTTCAATCTTTTCTTCATTTACTATGATGCTATTTATTGGTCCACTTGTGAGGAATTTTGTTTTCTGCAATCCATACCAGTCTCTGATCTTTTGGAATTATTTGCTAAGCACAGAGACTGAATAAATATGGTGAAAGGATACAACCCTGACGCACACCTTTTCTGATTTTAAACCATTCATTTTCCCCTTGTTCTGTTTGAAAGACTACAGGTTTTGCATGAACACAATTAAGTACTTTGGAACTCCCATTATTTGCAATATTATTCATAGTTTGTTAGGATCCATACAGTCTAAGGCCTTTTCTTTTTTTTTTTTTAAATAAATGTTTTATTGTGAATTGTGTGACAGTTTACATGGGAGAATATTAGTTTTACATTCATTCTATCATACATCGTTTCAGTGCCATAGTTACCATCCCCAGTCTAATGCCTTTTCATAGTTAATAAACACAGGTAAACATCTTTTGGTATTCTCTGCTTTCAGCCAAGATCCATCTGATGTCAGCAATATCCCTTGTTTCATGTTCTCTTTTGAATCCGGCTTGAATTTCTGACACCTTATCAATATACTACTGCAATATGTAATTATCTTCACCAAAATTTTAATTGCATGTGATATTAATGATATTGTTCGACAATTTCCATATTCTGTTGGGTATCTTCCAATTGGCTGGCCAGGAAGCTGTCTTCCAAATTCCTTGGGATAGATGAGTGAGCACCTCCAACAGTGTGTCTTTATTATCAGTTTTTCAGTAAGGTTTTTCTCTGATCTCTGATTGGGTTAAAAATCCCTCTACATCTATTTGTGTGATTATTTGCTCTCCTTTACTGCAATGCAAATTCCACAAAAGGGCAAGAAAGTAATATCCAAAGCCAGACAATGGGTCTGTAATACTTGTTAATCAATAAAAAATTGTTCAATGAAAAGGCAAATGAATAACCAAATAAATATCAAAGACTACTTATAAATCAATTTTTTAAAAATACAAGCATAAGATTAACATATAAAAGTTTATAAAATGGTCATTTAAACATAATAAACCAATGCTCAACCTTATCAGTAATCAAAAAAATATAAATGTAAATGGGCCAGCATTTCCTCATCTACTAAACAGATAAAAATGGTAACACCTAGGGTTTAGAAAACTTGTATATTAAACTGTTAAGAATATATAAATTGATACTAGCTTTCCAGATAGTAATATCTACCAAAGTCCTTAAAAATTTTCAAGTATTTTAAAATATACTTTCACAAAATTACCAGAAATGGAAAATGATTAGCTACCAGGTGATTTACTGCAGAGCTCTCTATACTGGCAAAATATAAATGGAAACAAAGCAAATGCCCAAAAATGAGGAATTGATATGTGATAAGGTGGCTATTGAAAGTATTTTTGCAGAATTTTAAAAACATGAAAAACGATGCATAGTACACTAAATAACTATAGCAGATCTCAATATGACCCCATTTTCTGCTTAAACACGAATAAAAAATCCAAACATATAGCTAGGAAACAAACATACCAAAATACTGTAGATATTAACAATGCTGCTTGATTTTGCTTATTTACTTTCTAAATACTCTCTGGTAAGCATGTTTTACTCTTACAGTAAGAAATTATAAAAAGAAAAAAATAGTCTGAATGATAATATTTGTGGAAAGAGAAAGATATTTCAGTTGCAGTATGACCAATGAAGTGGTTCTCAACCTAGATTACTGCTTATTAACTATAAAATGTTTAAATTTGAGGGTCCCATCCTCAAATTCATGTTGGTTTAATATAATAAGTGTTATTATTCTAAGCGGAAACATTCACTTACAGTGAAGCGTTCAACAATTTCTAAGAACAAAGGCTTGATATAGTTGAGTACTTTAAAGCTATGCTATAAAGATACTAGGAAAACAGTTGGATGAATCACCTGGCTTCATGCTAGGATTCAGAGGTCTGGCAGCTGCTGTAGCCATCTGTTCCCGTCGAGGATCCTGGTAGCTCATTTTATTAACAAATTCAATTGCTGCTTCTACATTTCTATTATTAGTTTTCTGAAGAGCTTGCATAAACATATCCTGATATGAAATTTTAAAAAGAAAAAATAATTAAATCTTATAATTAATAAGAGGAAACAGCACTATGAGTTCATGAGAAAAATTCTTAATTACGAAGAACACAGCCCCAAGCCATAATACTAATGTCCTGTTTGTAACTATTATAAAAATCCATATGGTCTCAAGTTACTAATAAAATAAAATTAACACTCACATCCTCCAAATGTTTTTAAATATTTTTATCTTTATGTAGCTTATTACGGTTTCCTCTCAGGAACACCTTTCTCATACAATCAAAGCAGTACCACTGTGAATATTTTCATTCTTTATTTTATTCCTACATAGACACGATGAGATTTTTAAAGGTTATCAAGCAATACGAAAGTCTATTTTTCGTACTGCTAAAGCCCTTGATTAATCACTTTTGCTATCATGTATACTAGTAAAAGAATGATACAGTTCTGATTCCGATCCTCTTAGAGCTTACATTTTCAGAGAAAACTGTTTGTGCAGGGACACATACACAGGACAAACGGTATAAAAAAATACTCAGACAATATACAAGGGGATTCAAGACATTCATGGAAATTTCCATTCTCTTTACATTTTTCCATGAACTTTTTTGAAGCCCCCTCATATAATTTTAAGGAGCTCTGGTAGTGTAGTGGTTACGAATCGGGCTGTGAACCACAAGGTCAGCAGTTCGAAACTACCAAGTGGGAGAAAGACGAGGCTTTCTGCTCCCATAAAGATTTACAGCCTCGGAAATCCTGTACAGGGTCACTATGAGTCGGAACCGACTCCACGGCACATAACAACAACAACAACATATAATTTTGATGAAGAATTCAGGAGGTTAGGTAGAATGCAATTAAAAATAAGCAGAGGATTTGGAGTCAGACAGCTCTGCCTTTGAATTCCAACTCCTCACCTTTAAAACTGTATCACCTTTGGCGCATTACTTACCAGTTCAGAGCCTCAGTTTATTCATCTGTAATAAACTCACAAGATTGATGTGTGGATCAAATAAGAAAACAAGTAAAGCTCAGAAGCACATGTCTGAAGATTAATAATGTTTGCTGTCCTCCTGTTATACTTCATGCCCTTAGTGATGTCATATGGAGATATACATTTTAGTGTCATGGGAAAATGTCATGAGGAAAGAACATTGAGATGCATTTTACAAGAGAGGCAGCTAGCATATATATTTACATATATGTAATAATGTACTTGGGGGCACAGCTATGGAGACTTCCTCATGGAATGGGTTCAGTGGGTTAAAAGACTTTGCACAATAGTCGCATAAGAAACTCAGTTGATCTCTACAGCACAGTTAGTTCATAAAGGTAGTGTTCTACATCCTATTTTGGTGAGTAGTGGCTCTACTCATCTGGAACAAAAGAGAAGGAAGGAAAACAAAAAACCAAAGAAGAAACTAGTTAACAGGACTAAAAGCCCACAGGAACCATGGCCGTATCTCACCTGAAACTAGAAGAAATGGATGGTACCTGACCAGGGACACAATTGTTGTTAAGTGTTGTAGAGTCATTTTCGACTCATAGCAACCCTGTCTATGTTTCTGAGGCTCTTGAATCTTTGCGGGAGCAGGAAGTCTTACATCTTTCTCTCACAGAGTGGCTGCTGGGTTTGATCAGCTGACCTTGTGTTTCACAGTCCAGTGCTTCTCCTATGGCATCATTGCACTTCCCAGGGACACAACAGAATAGGGAAAAAAATGTAGGAAAAAACTCCAATTTCTAAAAACAGTCAGACTTATTAGACCAATAAAGACTAAAGGAATTCCTGAGACTATTGCGCTAAGATACCCTTTGAACTTGAAATTGAAGCCATTTCCACAGATCACCTTTCATGCAAATAATAGATCAGCTTATAAAATAAGCAGTATTACCCATGAATAATTAAGTGCCGTCATGTCGATTCCAACTCATAACAACCCTGTAAAGGGTTTGTGAGGCAGTAAATCTTTTGTGGGAGCAAAAAAAAACATTTCTCTTTCTCTCACCAAGTGGCTGGTGGACTCAGTCAACCTTGTGGTTCACAGTCCAGTGCTTATCTTACAGAGCTACTGTGTTCCAAACACTGTGCTTTCTTAAATAATCACCTATATGAGACTAAATGGTCAACATTTACCCCAAAGCAAAGATGGTAAGGTAGGGAGGGGCAGGAAAGCCATATTAATGACATTCTAATACATGCTACATGATCAACCTAGAAATAATTATGCTGAGTGAAATACGTCAAACTATAGTGAGCTGAAATGGCCTACTGACCATTTGAATCTGACAATAACATGGTTTACTATGGAGGGAATGACATATTGAAGAGGAATGGTGCTGCATTCATCATCAAAATGATTTCAAGATCTAGCTTCAAATATAATGCTATCTGTGAGAGGATCATATCCATAAATGTACAAGGAAGACCAGATAATACCACTATTATTCAAATTTATTAACCAACCACTAAAGACAGTAATGATAAAACTGAAGAATTCTTCAACTGCTTCAGTCAGAAATTGCTCAAACATGAAATCAAGATACACAATAATTAGAATGCAAAGGCTGGAAACAAAGAGGAAGGATCAGTAGTTGGAAAATATGGCCTTGATGGTGGAAATGATGCTGGAGAATTTTGCATGACAGAATTTTGCAAGACCATGACTTGTCCATTGCAAATACCTTATTTAAACAACATAAAACATGACGATTACAAATGGACTTCACCAGACGGAATACAGAGAAATCAAATTTGACTACATCTGTGGAAAAGATGGTAGACATCTCATATCATCAGCCTAAACAAGACCACAGGCAGACTGTGGAACAGACCATCAACTGCTCATATGCAAGTTTAGACTTAAGATAAAGAAAACTAAAACTAGGCCTTGAGAACAAATATATGAACCATGTATATCCTGTTTGAATTTAGAGAATGTCTCAAAAACAGATTCTAATTTCTAATGAAACTCATGACCAAAAACCAGAATAATTGTGGGATGACATCAAGAGTATTACACAGGAAGAAAGCAAAAGGTCATTAAGAAGAGAAGAAAGAAAAGACTGCAATGGATTTCAGAAGAGACTCTGAGACTTGCTCTCCAGTATAGAAATGCTAAAGCAAATAGAATAAATGAAGAGGTGCACTGAAGGCATTGGCAAAGAACAAGGCTTTGGGAATTGACGGAACACAAATTAAAATCTTTCAACAAACTGACACAGCACTGGAGGCACACACTCATCTATGCCAACAAATTTGGAAGACAGCTACCTAAGCCAACTCACTGGAAGAGATCCAAATTTGCACCCATTCCAAAGAGGTGACAAACGATATGTGAAATCATCTAACAATATCATTAATATCACACGCAAGTAAAATTTTGCTAAAGATAATTTTAAAAACAGCTACAACAGTATACATTGCCTGGGAACTGAAAGAGGTTCAAGCCAGATTCAGATGATGGCGTATTTAGAAGAATATCACTGTAGATGTCAGAAAGATCTTGGTTGAAAGCAGAGAATATCAGAAGAATGTTTACCTGTGCTTTAGCGACTATGCAAAGGCTTTGGACTCTGTGGATTATGACAACCTATGGACAACATTGTGGAGAATAAGTATTCTGGAACACTTAATTGTGATCATGAAGAACCTGTACACAGACCAAGAGACAGTTGTTGGAACAGAACAAGAGGACACTGAATGAATCAGGAAAGGGGTGTATGCCAGGGTTGTATTCTTTCACCAATTTACTCAATCTATATGCTGAGCTAATAATCTAAGAAGCTGGATTATATGAAGTAGAACACGGTATCAGGATTGGAGGAAATACAACTTGGGATGTACAGAAGATACAACCTTGCTTGCTGAAAAGCAAAGTGCACTTAAAATACTTATTGATGAAGACCAAAGACCACAGCCTTCGATAAGGTGGTTGATATCAATGTACAGAAAACAGAATCCTAACCACTGGACCATTAAAATAACATTATGATAAATGGAGAAAAGATTGAAGTTGCCAAAGACTTCACTTTGCTTGGATCCACTGTCAACATTCATTGAAATAGTAGTCAGGAAATCAAATGACATATTTATTGCATTAGGAGCCCTGGTAGCGTAGTGGTTACGAATCGGGCTGCGAACCTTAAGGCCAGCAGTTCAGAACTACCAGCCGCTCCGCGGGAGAAAGATGAGGCTTTCTGCTCCTGTAAAGATTTACAGCCTCAGAAACCTTGTACAGGGTCGCTCTGGGTCGGAACCAACTTGACGGCACTTAACAACAAGAACATTGCATTAGGAAAATCTGCTACGTAAGACCTCTTTAAAGTGTTCAAGAACAAAGATCCAAGTCATGGAATTTTCAACTACCTCACAAGCATGTGAAAGTTGAACAGTGAATAAGTAAGACCGAAGAACTGATACTTTGAGTTATAGTGTCGGAGAAGTTTGAAATATCATGGACTATTAGAAGAAACAAACAAATCTATGTTGGAAGAACACTCTTTAGGAAGCCAGGATGACGAGACTTAAGTCTCTCATACTTTGAATGTATTATAAGAAGGACTAGTTTCTGGAGAAGGATTATTATGCTGGCTAAAGTAGAGGGTCAGCAAAAAAGAGGTACAACCCCAATGAGATGGATGGCACAGTGGCAGCAGCAATGGGCTCAAGCATAACAACCGTGAGGATGACTAAGGACAGAGCAGTGTTTTGTTCTGTTGTACACGGGTTTCTATGAGTTGGCACTGACTTGATAGCATCTAACAATAACAATGGTCAGTTGATCTTTGACAAAGAACTAAGACACATAAATGGGGAAAGGATAGTCTCTTAAATAAATTATGTTGGCAAAACTTGAAATTCATTTGCAGAAGAATAAAACAAGCCTCCTATCTCATACCAAATACAAAAGCAAGTCAACATGGAGTGGATTAAAGACCTAAATGTGAAAACCAGAACTATAAAGGTCAATGAAAAAGCAGGGACAAACTTAGGGACTCTGACCCATGGAATAAATACAACATCAAACGTAATAGTAACTGACAACACCCAAACAGCAGGAGACTAAACAGATGACTGGGACCTCCTAAGAATTTGACATTTATGTGCATGAAAAAGATTTCACCAACAGAGTAAAAAGAGAACCCATGTACTATGAAAAATTTTAGACAATGATGTTTCAGACAAGGGACTACTCTCTAAAGTTTACAGAACATTTTAACACCTCAACAAGATGACAAATTATCCAACTGAAAAGGGGGCAGAGGATATGAACAGATACTTCACTAAAGAAGACATTTCTGTGGCCAAGAAACAGGAAGAAATGCTCAGGATCATGAGCCATTGTTATTGCTGTTAAGTACGTTTGAGTCAGTTCTGACTCATAGTTTCCCTATATAGGGTCTCCAAGGGGCAGCTGGTGCATTTGAACCACAGACTTTGTGGTTCAAACTGCACAGTAGTCCAGTGCTTATCCTACAGCATCACCCTATGCAAACCAAAACAACAATGAGAAACTATCTTAACAAAATCAGAAAACATCAAATGCTGACAAGGATGTGGAGACTGGGACCCTCCTACACTGCTGGTGGGACTGTAAAATGGTACAACCACTGTGGAAAATGGTATTGCACTTCCTTATAAAGTTAGAAATAGAAATCCCATAAGATCCAACAATCTTCTATTTGGTATATAGCCTTAAGAAATGAAGGCCGTAAAAAAAAAAAAAAAAAATGAAGGCTGTGACATGACTATATAGATGTACACCCATGTTCATTGCAGATTTCTGGTATGGCGCTATGGATCAGCACTGGACTGTGAATCACAGGGTCAGCAGTTCAAACCTATGAGTTCCTCCTCGGACACCCTATACACAGTACAGGGTCGCTATTAGTTGGAGCAGACTCAATGGCACTTAACAACATGTTCATTGTAGCATTATTCACAATAGCAAAAAGATGGAGACAACCTAAATGTCTATCAAGAGAAGAAAAGCTCAACTTTGGTACACACACACAATGGAATACTAAGTAAAGTTGAGGAATACTGATGACTCTGAAAAACCACATATATGGATTAACCTGGAGGGCACTATGATAGTGAAATTGATGTTGTTAAGTGTCTTTGAGTGGGTTCTGACTCATAGTGATGCTGTAGAGGGCTTCTGAGGAGCAACTGGCAGGTTTGAGCTGCCAACCTTGTGGTTCGCAGTCCAGTGCTGATCCTATAGCACCACATCAGTAGTCCAAGCAGCATTGAAGAATAATAATGAGTCTCGGAAAAGCCTAATAACATGGATGAACCTGGAGAATATGATAGTGAGTGAAATTAGTCAATCACAAAAGGACAACTACTTTTTTTAAGGTTTTCTTGATAAAAGAAACATTCTATGATGGTTAATACAAGTGGGAGAGAAGGGAAAAGTATTCACTGTGTAGACATATGGGTGATGGGGTAAGCAATATACAAGAGAGAGACTGGCACAGGAAAGATGAAGACAGTGGAAGCTACAGGAAGGAGTGCAAGAGTTAGTGAATAGAGGCAAATATTAATGCTAACTGATATCACATGGAAGAGATTACAACTAACGGAATGTACAATTTGTTGAATGTGGGATGGATGATCTGCTCTGTAAACCTTCACTCAATTCATAATAAAAAGTTTTAAAAAAACAAAACAACAACAAAAGAAGAGATTTGATGTACTGAACAATAATGGCCAATGACCACATCAGTTGTAGGATGACAAGAAAGCGAAAGGTCACTGGAAACAAAGGAAAAAAAGAAAAGACAAAACAGGATGTCATAAGAAACTTTGAAAACTCCGCCTTGACTGTAGAAAAGCTAAAGCAAAAGGAAGAAATGAAAAAGCAAAAATGTAAACAGAATTATTTCAAGGGGCAGCTAGAAAGACAAAATAAAGTACTATAATGAAGAAGTAAAAACACTAAACAGAAGATTTCAAGGGTCAGCTAGAGAGACAAAGTAAAGTATTAAAATGAAATGTGAAAAGCCCTGGAGTTAGAAAACCAAAAGGGAAGAATACACTCGGTTAAAAGAACTGAAGAAAACATTCAAGTCTTCAGTTGCAATTTGAAGGAATCTCTTGGCAAAAATTAAATGACACAGCACGCATCAACATAAGATGCAAGGAATACAGAGTCATTGTAACAAAAAGAAATGGTGGCTGTTCAACCATTTCATGAAGTGACATCTAACCAAGACCCAACAGTATGAAAGGAAGAAGTATAAACTGCATAGAATGCACTGGTGAAAAACAAGGTTCAAGGAATTGATGGAATACAACTGAGATTACTTCAACAAAGATGTAATGCTGGAAACGCTCATTCATCTATGCAAACAAATCTGGAAGACAGCTCACCTGGCAAACCAACTGGAAGAGATCATATTTGTACCCATTCCAAAGAAAGGTGATCAAACAAAATGCAGAAATTATCAAACATGCCATTAATATTACACACAAGTAAAATTTTACTGAGGATAATTTACAAATGGGTGCATCAAGAGGGAACTGCCAAAAATTCAAGTTGCATTCAGAAGAGGATGTGGAATAAGGGTCATCATTACTGATGTCAAATGGACCTGTGCTTTATTGACTACACAAAAGCATCCAACTGTGTGAATCATAATAAATTATGGATAATGTTGTGAAGACTGGGAATTCCAAAACACTACATTGTGCTCATGCAGAATCTGCACATAGACTGAGAGGCAGTTTTTGGACAGAATCAGGGGTATCTTTCACTTATTCAATCTGTATGCTGAGCAGGTAATACAAGAAGCTGGACTATCCGAAAAATGGGACATCAGGAATGGAAGACTAACAACCTGCAATATGCACGTGACACAAACTCATTTGCTGAAAGCAGAGGACTTGAAGCACTTAATCAAAGTGCTTCAAAAATTAGACTTCAGAACAGAATATACCTCAACATAAAGAAAATAAAATCCTCCCAAGTGGATAAGCAATATCATGATAAAGAGCTTAAATTTTATTTGGATCTATAATCAATGCCCATTCAAGAAATCAAAGAATCTACTGCATTGGGCAAATATGCTACAAAAGACCTCTTTAAAGTGTTAAAAAGGAAAGATGGCACTTGGATAAATAAGGTGCACCTGACTCAAGCCAAAGCATTTTTAATCACCTCATATACATATGAAAAGCTGAACAATGGAGAAGAAAGACTGAAGAATACTGACTGCACTATGAATGGCCAGAGGAAGTAATCAATCTGTCTGGGAAGAAGTAGTCAAAATGCTCCTCACCTTGAAAGGGAGGATGCTGAAACTTTGGCTCAGATACTTAATTGTCTTAAAATTTAAGACTCCCTAGAGGAGGATATTATGCTTGGTAAAGTAAAGGGTCAACAAAAAAGAGGAAGATCCTCAACGAGATGGCCTGACACAGTGGCTGCAACTATGGGGTCAAACAGAGCAATGATTGTGAGGCTGGTGCAGGACTGGGCAGTGTTTCGTTCTGTGGTACATAGGACTGCTGTGAGTTGGACCCAACTCAACAGCACCTAATAAAGCATAAAAATGGTAAGAAAGGAAGGCCAAGGCAGACACTGTGAGAAGTACCAGAGTAAAAGGCAAGGGAGGTAAATACATACTGTTATATACATATTCCTGCAAGAACTAGCCTACCAGTGGGTGCAAAGATAGCATGCAAACTGTGCAGGCATGGGGAGTAGAATGGGACAGTATCTACAAATATATACAGGCTTCACACAGGATATTTTAAGTATTTACCTATGCTGCAAATACATTCTGAGGTTTCTTAGATAATTGCCAGGTCATAAAAATGAGAGAGTCCACGTTCAGCTGAAGAAAGCCACAGGTGAGGTGAAGAGAAAGAAGCGGACATCTGATAAGTGTGAAATGTGAACTGTGGTGAGCTCACTGCCTCTGGTAGAAACAACAGCTCCAAAGATGTGAAGTTTAAATTTGTTCTAGAGAGGAATTTAATCATGGATTTGATTAAACACAGAAGAAAGTTGTTACATTCAAATCACACAGCGACTCTAACACAGTAGGACAAAATATAACTTCTGAAATTGTAATCTTTATGGGAGCAGATCCCCAGGTCTTTTCTCCTGCAGAGTTGCTGGTGGGTTCAAACCAATAACCTTCTGGTTAGCAGCTGAGCACTTTAACCATTGCAGCACCAGGGCTCTTGGGCGGTATCACAGAGGAAACTAAACACACAAAGTAATTATTTGTTTGAAGAATTAGTGGAATTATATATATAATATACTTGGCTAACAGAATACAGAAATTTGTATACAATAAATCACATGAATTATTCAAAGTTCTTAAAGCTCTTTTCACCACCAGCAAATGGTTACTTCTCTACAGGAAGCACTAGCCATGAGATCACCCAAAATCATTATATAGCAATGTGTAAAAAGAGCTTTTCTCTTCAAAAGCTCTTACCTCATCAAATCCAGCCGTGTGTAAATCTTGGAAAGTTTGGGGATGAACTTCTGAAGTACTCCGGGAGGAAGAACTTGCTTCATTTGCAAAAGGCAGTAGAGAGTTTCTAATTTCCTGCAAAGCTTTATGATACGTCCCAAATTTAGGTGGATTTCTGACTTGTCGAGGATCTTCTGCTGACATTTTACTCATGTTATGCTCAGCCTTAGCAGCATCGGATGGTTTGGATAAATTCCTCAGGGATTCCCGAATTTCTTGCAACATTTGCCGACTATTGCCAATATTGCTTCCGGTAGGAAAGGTCTTAGGCCTTATTTGTCTATATCCTTCTGGTTTTTCACTCCTCTTCATGAAAACATCTAAGTATATAACCCACATAAAAGGTTTCCTTAAGATTTACTTGGTAGATTCAGAGCTATCTTTTGAGCAAAAGTGAAAATGATTCTTCAGGAAAGTCACCAGCAATGTTAAAATCCTTTACAATCTAATTAAACCCTAGAAAAGAAAAAAACAAACAAAATATAAATGGGAGTTACTAACTGATTAACTGATAAAGTACCATCTACTAGGAAACAACAAAAACAATGACTTAGGAAACTGTTTTCACTGAGAATTTCTATATGATCAGGGCAAGTTACTTAACCAATCTGCGCCTTTTTCTAAGCTATAGAATTCACTTACCTTATTTACCTGATATGGTGACTATAATGATTAAAAAAAAATTTATGAGTAGTTAATAAGCATATACAGTATACACAAAAACAAAGGATTACTAAGTGAACAATACAACAGGCAACTTCTTCTTTTCAACATCACCTAGTGTGGAGCAGTGAATTACTTCTAGCCAATATTTTAAATTCCTACCAAACAACTGCAAGGAGCTCTGGTAGCGTAGTGTTTACGAGTCAGGCTGCTAACCTCAAGATCAGCAGTTTAAAACTACCAGCTGTTTCATGTGAGAAAGATGAGTCTTTCTGCTCCCGTAAAGATTTACAGCCTCGGAAACCCTATGCAGGGTCGCTATGAGTCGGAATTGACTCCAC